CAACTATCCCCATGTTTTGAAAAACCTCGTGATAACTATCCAGATAATCCTGGGGATACTCAGTAGATGCACCGCTAAATATAGAAGTGAAGAGCTTGGTAAACCTATACAGCCTCCACAAAGCATCGGTGGACATAGTCGCTCCATCGCCAGTCTGAGCTACTACACCCGGCTGAACCGCTAGAATCTGAATCTGGGGAGCTACCTGCTCCGGAATGTGCATAGTAGGAGTCTAAGCCCCTCCTCCAGCCTGAGAAGTGGCTGGTGCTACAGGAAGCAAACCCGCTCGGGTGACACTCTCCATGAGGCCCACCAATCGGACCAGAGCGTCCTGAAGAATTGGGGTGGCAATGAACCCCTCTGGGACCTGAGCTGGGCCCACTGGAACTGCTGGGGCCAGAACCTCCTCCTCAAAATCAACCTGAGGCTCCGCCACTGGTACTGCTGCTCAGGGGTTGAGCTCTGCCCCTACCTCGGCCTCTGGTACGGCCTCGGCCTCGCCCTCTGCCCCTAGTGGGAGCTGCTGCTGGGGGCTCGGGCTGCTGAGCAGTAGATGAGGAAGCGCATGTTCTCGCCATCTGCGAAGAACATAGTAGAAATCCAATTAGCATTTGAGGAACAAATCCGCACGACAAGAAAGAACAAATGTGAAATTTTCCTAACTCTATAGCCTTTGGGGGATAAGTACAGACGTCTTCGTACCGATCCCTCAGACTATACTGAGCTTGTCCGTGAGTTGTGAAACCTATGTAACCTAGCGCTCTGATACCAACTTGTCACGACCCGTATTTTCCACCCTCGGGAGTCGTGATGGCGCCTACTAATGAGAGCTAGGCAAGACAATCCTTAACTGCTTACTTCATTAACAAATTACTTCTTTTAACAATTATCAGTGATAGCATGAAAACAACGGAATTAAATAAATAAGCGGAAGACCTAAATTAAATAAGCTGAACAATAATGTGAAAGTCAACATATGCCTCTACCCAAGAACTGGTGTCACATCACTCACGAACTACTAAGAGTACTAAATACAACCATTTGAAACAAATATAGCACTGTTTGTCTCGAATACATGAGATAACAGAATATGAAATAAGATAGAGGAGACGCCGGGCCTGCGGACGCCTGCAAGGCTACCTCGGTGTCTCGGTGGACTAAAGGTTGGCTCCTGCGCTACTGCTGATGTCCAATACCTGGATTTGTGCAAAAGAGCACAGAGTGTAGTATCAGCACAACTGACCCCATGTACTGGCAAGTGCCTTGCCTAACCTCGGCGAAGTAGTGATGAGGCTAGGACCAGACTACCAAATAACCTGTGCAGTTCAAATATCTATATGTATAGCGGAAAAGAAATACAGGAAATAATCAGTCAATGTGGGAAGTGAAAACATGTTGTGGGTAGGTAACAGTTCCAAATAGAAAACCTCAATAAAAGAAAGAAACAACAAAGCCAGAATATCAACAAGAGTCGGAATTCAACGATTTGCACGGCATCACCCTTCGTGCTTTTACTCTCGTCCTCACCCAAACAATATTTATAATAAAAAATGTGCACGGCATCACTCTTCGTGCTTTTACTCTCGTTCTCACCAAATCAATCGTATCATAATAATGTGCACGGCATCACCCTTCGTGCTTTTACTCTCTTTCCTCACCACATAGTCGATGAATATCGGTACGGAATGGTACATTGTACGGCACGACATCACCCTTCGTGCTTTACATTCTTTCCTCACAATAGCAAACAATGCACGGCATCACCCTTCGTGTTTTAACACTCTTACTCACCCAAACAACAATCACAAACAAAGGGTCAAGGGAGTAAACAAATAATGGTAGAAATCCTAGCAAGGAAATACAATTAAACAGCTAAATTCCGGCAAGGGAACAATATCAATAAATCTCAATATCCCGGCAAGGGAGATAATCAACAAAGCAACAAACATCCCGGCAAGGGAACAATTCAATAACTCTTTCTCTTTCTTTCACTTCTTACTTTATAACTCACTTTACCACTTGAGTCAATGCTCCAAAGGGTTCAATTATCTCATATACTTTCACAATTTGTATTATAACTCGAGCCAATGCTCCTCGAAGTTCAAAGATCACAATTTCTTTCACATGATTTTTACAACATATAGAAATCACCATTAAGGCATGAAATATACTACAAAAATCAGAATATCCACAATATAAAGACTCACGGTCATGCTAGACACCAACGTATAGATACTCGTCACCATGTCTATACGTCGTACTCGACAATTAGCACGTAGCAATTAAGACTCAACTTCTAATCCCTCAAGCTAAGGTTAGACCAAACACTTACCTCAAACTTCCACGGCTAATTCAATCCTCAATTACCGCTTTTCCTCTCGAATTTGGCTCCAAATCGATTGTATCGATACAATAATGACTTCAATACATCAATAAATGCTAAACAATGCGAACACAATGCCTAATTATAGCTTTCCAAGCATTATTTCCAAAATCCCAAAAATCGACCCCGGGCCCGCTTGGTCAAAACACAAGGTTCTAACCAAAATCAAATCACCCATTCACCCACCAGCCCACATATATAATTATTTCCAGAATTCAACCCCAAAACGAGGTCTAAATCACAATTAATTAAAAAGCCCTAACTCTACCCAAATCCCTAATTTTCTACCCTTAATCACATGTTTTAGGCCTAGAATTTCAATAGATGTTGATGGAAAATGAAGAAAACGAGTTAAACAATGCTTACCCAAGAAACTTTGGTGAAATAATGCTTCAAAAATCGCCTAGGAGCTTTGGAGAAGAAAGGGTTTATGAAATTTTGCAATAATCCCATAAGGCTACTGTTCTGGATTTTTAAAAATTAACTGGGCGAATTTACTCTACGCGTTCACGACAAGCTCATCCCGTTCACGATGAGTCAGATCTGCTAGGCCTTCGCGATCGCGTGAAAAAGACTCGCGTTCGCGGAACTTTGGCTATTCAAGCCTACGCGTTCGCGTTCTAGTGGCCGCGTTCGCGATGAATAATTTGGTGACCCCTCCCCAGCACCTTACGCGTTCGCGAGTGAGGGACGCATTCGCAAAGGGTCTCCCCCCTCAGCTTTGCATTCGCGTCACAACCTTCGCGTTCGCGAAGAAGAATTTGGGCACCTGGGATTTTTGTCTTACGCGTTCGCGAGAGGGACCACGCGAACGCGAAGGGTTTCCCTGGGCACCAATAGCAGCAATCTAACTTTTCCACAAGTTCAAAACTTCCCAAAACACACCCGAGCCCTCGGGGCTCCTAATCAAACACAGTACTAACTCAACAACATCATACGAACTTATCTGTGAGATCAAATCGCCAATGTAACCTTAATAACAATGAATTAAACCTCAAACTCAAAGGATTTTTGTCAAACTTCATCAACTATCAACTTTAGCAATTTAGGTCCTAAACACGTCAAATGATATCCGTTTTTCATCAAATTTCACAGAAACATCTTAAATCACCTATAAGACCTGTACCGGGCGCCAGAACATAAATACGGGCCCGATACTAACATGTTCTAATCAAATTTCATTTTAATTTTCCTTAACAATTTCAGAAAAAATAATTTCCTTTAAAAATTTATTTCTCGGGCTCGGGACCTTGGAATTCGATTCCGGGCATACGTCCGAGTCCCATATTTTCCTACGGACCCTCCGGGACCGTCAAATCACGGGTCCGGGTCCGTTTACCCAAAATGTTGACCGAAGTCAAATTTATTCATTTTAAACTCAAAACTTAGCATTTTTCAGAGAATTTCATATTTAAGCTTTCCGGCTACGCGTCCGGACTGCGCACGCAAATGGAGGCGACTCTAAATGAGGGTTTCAAGACCTCGAAAGCACAGAATGAATAAGAAAACAGGTGATTACCCTTTGGGTCGTCACAGGAACACTTTTTTTTTCCCATTTTTAAAGGAACCAACAGACAAATTGCCGGACTCTTAAAAGTTTCTTCCACTGGCCTGGGGTCCAGAATTTTTTCCTAATTTTAATTTGCATGAACAACGTAACTTTGTCATTTGTGTTAGATAGTGATTTATTTAATTGAAAGAAATCAAATATATATACGATATGTTAATTATCATTCCATTATTGTGTTACTGAAAGTGGAAAAATAAGAAGTCATGATTCACTTTAAGGGAACTGAAGTTAATGAAGTTAATTAACTCGAGAACAATTTCTCTGAAAAGATTTTTAAAAAATCTTGTATTTTATGAGAGGCATGAAATTATTAAAAACTGCAAAACCTAAAATTACTAGTACAAATTAAAATTAGCTTATCACCTAAAAATTAATCCATGCCTAAAACACCTTAGGGGTCGTTTGGCAGGGTGCATAAGAATAATGCTGAATAGGGTGTATTAGTAATGCTGGTATTAGTTATGCTGACATATTTCTTACCATTGTTTGGTTTGATATATTAAAGCATTGTGCAATTTCTAAAAGAATTGTTTGTTTACAAAATTGCCCTCAAAACCAGTCCATCACTTTAACTTTTTTAAATGAAACATGTGTTGAGAAATATCTTTATATGAAAAAGTTTTAAAAAAATTATTTAATTTGTCTACCTATATTGTAAAATAGAACTAAATATTTATTTATAAAAAAGGAAATATGCTAAGTATTTATTTATTTACTAGGGCTATAATTTTATTTCTCACTATTTAGATTATTTTAAACTTCCATCAATATAATAATTAGCATATTTTAATCAAGCATAAATGTTGAAAGACAATTTTGTCTTTAACTAAGCTAATGCTTGCATTAAAACCCATTGCATTGCTAATATCATTGTTTTCTATGCATTAGTTATGTATAGAGTAATATCAAATAGGATGTATAACTAATGCATAAGTTCAAAATGTTTACCAAACAATGTATTATTAATACACAAAGCTAATGCATGCATTATTTTATGTAATGCATCCTACCAAACGACCCCTAGTGATTTGCCTATTTTATTGAGGCTTAAAGGGAATCTAAAGCCGCTCCAAGTGCAAAGATTTCATAATCATCAGCACTGAAAATACTACTATTACTATTGCACCCACAGTAACCTTTGCAAGCACATGACTCATCCCATGATGTACAATTTTTCTTGACTTTTGTTGCCTCTTTTACTTTAACCTTCATTGCTATTTTCACTGCTGGAGGTTTCACATCTTCATTATGCACACGCTTATCACTTTTAGAAGTAGCCATGAATATTGCCCACTCCTCAATTTCCATTTCTGTTGACTCAAATACTCTTTTCCATGGAATTTCAGCTCTCCCCAACACTTGTGAGCTACCAATAACTTTACCTAAAACTGGAATATATTTTCTTGACCGGAGCTCGAAGATAACCGTGCCTTGCTTCAGCATGCTAATGGAGTCTTGAGTTCCCATGCAATCCAATGAGAAAGATTCATCCCAAAACAAGTTACTATCACATTTTGATGCTGAGATTTCTTGGCTGTTTAGCTGAACTCTTTGGTTGCCTCCTGCTGGAAGATAGCATCTAACAAACAAGTTGTTTTTCCCTAAAGAGCTTTGCTCTATGTTTCTTCCTCTTATGATTTGTATTTCACAACTAATAGTTTGAGTATTCTCCATTGAAAGAATACTAGTGGTTTTTCCTTGATGGGGTTGTCTTGTTTTCTTGAGAGATGGTTTGTTTTGGCGATGGGAAGCACTTAGTAATTGGGGTATTTATAGTTGGAAATTAAAATGCTTCACTTTGAGCATGCAGTGGAAGGAAAGTGGTGTAACTTTTTGAAGAAGGAGCTACTAGCTATAGCTACAATAATAATTAACCTTATAAAATATAAGGAAAAAAAACCACCCACCCAATGAGAATTAGTGCTAATCTCGTAGCTAAAGTGAATCCTTTGAGGATCATATAAAATATTTGTTTTATTAAAAAAAGTTCTGCAAAAGCTCTTTGGACTCTTGAAAGGTTAAAAATGTGTGAAACGACTCATAGGATAAGTATTGAGGTAGAATGTTTCTTTTAAATGTGTCAACTAGGTCTCAATTGGTGGGTTGATCTGGAACCTCCAGTCAGCTATTAAAATAAGGTACTGCAATTTGACATGTGACTTATATTCGCAATATCTGTGTTTCTTTTCTTATTTCGTTTCTCCTTATAAAGTCATTTGACCATTGGAGTAGCTGCCTTACATATCTTCCAATTCTAACGAAAAGATGGAATCACAAAAAAGAAAATCTTGGTGGAATGTTAGAATAAGCACTTGTGAATGATTTGGGGTCAAAGATAGGATATAGTTGAAAATGTTAGTCACAACCTATAAATTATTTGGTCAAATTTTCTATAAAAAAAATTAAATGTATTTTAAAAAAAATAAAATACGTTTAAAGCATAGCAGTTTAGCTAATCATTTTAAAAAATAATTTTAGCAATATTAGATAAATAATTTGTCCTTAGCCAAGCTCTCAAAAAGCAATTCTAGAAATAAATACTTTTTCATTTTTTTTTATTTTTTTGCTATTATTCAAAAATACTTATCCTTTTCTAAAAACATAGAAAAAAAGGTAGTCCCTGTTATAAAATAAAGACTGTAAATTAAAGACAAGTATAGAGAGAAACTGATATATTATTCGAATTCAAACTGATGTACATAATGAACTGAAATCTCTTCTATTTATAGAAGGAAGGAAGTTGTTGTGTAAGCTGCTGTGTAAGCTGCTACTTTACCATATATGGATAATCTTCTACTGAGAGTAATGTTTATCCATAACGGAGTACTGAAAGGATAAGCTCATTGTACCAGATATAGATAATCTTCTACTGGGGGTAATGTTTATTCATAATGGAGTACTGAAAGAATAAGTTCATTGTACCCGGTATGGATAATCTTCTACCGGGGGTAATGTTTATCCGTAACGGAGTATCGAAAGGATAAACTTATTATACCCAGTATAGATAATCTTCTACCGGGGGTAATGTTTATCCGTAACGGAGTATCGAAAGGATAAACTTATTATACCCGGTATGGATAATCTTCTATCGGGGGTAATATTTATCCATAACCGGGTACCGAAGTGATAAGCTTCTTCATGAGGTTTATTTCCAATAGAGTACTAAATAGATAAACATATTTACGGTAGAGTCTCATATGGATATGTTTCTTCAAGAAGCTTATTTACAACGGAATACTAAATGAACATCCATAATATAATATATTTATAACAGTCCGACTATTGCGAGGGACCCATTTTTCTTTAGGCATAATCCATGTGAGCACGTGATTTTCGCCCTATATGAGAATCACTCCCAAAAATTCAAAATAAAACAATT